AATTTTAGGGACATCCCTCTCAATTCAATGTCTGGATAATCTCTTACAGATCTTATTTTATGGTATTCCTCTCAATCCAATGTCTGGAGCCTCTCCCTTCCTGATATAAATTGTTGTTATCCCACTCAATCAAAAGTTGGGATAATCTCTCATTCCAATCTAATTTTGGGACATTCCTCTTAATTTCATGTCTGGATAATCTCGATTGCGGGTCTAATTTTGAAATAACCCAGTCAATCCAATGTCTAATTACTCTACCTTCCTTATCTAATTTTGGGATAACCCTCACAATTCAATGTCTGAATAATGTTCCTTCCTGATTTTATTGTGGGATACCCACTCCCAATCCAAATTCTGGATACTGTTCTTTCCAGATCTAATATTGCGATATCATTGTCAATCCAATGTCTGGATACTATTCTTTCCAGGTAAAAGTTTTGGATATCACTCTCAATCCAATGTCTGGATAATCTTCCTTCCCTGACTTAATTTTAGGATATTCCTATCATTCCAAAGTCTAATCTAATCTGAGCTACAAGTATATTGTGACAGTATGACCTGGTTTTAGGATGAATGGAAGCAGGGCTATATTACAAGGGTTTAAAAAAGCAAAGCCATATTAGGAGTGACTAAGGTCATGTTAGGAAACTGTGACCAGGGTTATATAGAAAGCTGTGACCAGGGTCATATAGAAAGCTATGACTAGGGCCATATTAGAAAGCTGTGACCAGGGTCATATCAGAAGGATGTAAATGAGATATACTATAAGTGTGTGACCAGGGCTACAATAATGCCAGAGGTATATAATAGAAATTTCTAAACATGCTATACTAAGATTGTGACAAGAGTTGTAATGGATATATAATGAAAATGACCAAGGGCAAAATAAGATTTTTTTTTCACTTGAATATCAGGAAAACATGTTTAAAGCAAACATCATATTATTGTGTTGAGTTCTAGCCAATATAATGATTTATTCTTGGAAATTAAATTCTGTTAATAAAATTGAATCATCATGGTTTGGCTGTAGGGGCAGGTTTCCCTTGCTTCACTGGTGTTTTTACTTTACCAGTTTCAATTTTTGCTTTTGGTTTTTGCTGTGTATCTGGTACTTTCTTCGGCATTTGTTTTGGGACTTGTTTAGTCACCTTGGGTTTTTCAGACTTTTTTACAACTGGAATGTTAACTTTGGGCATATAAGGTAGCTTGAAAGGAGATCGATTTTGTAAGTATGCAACCAAATTCGGTCTTTGTATAAATTGATTATAAAATGAAGACAACCGGGGATATTTTTCTAAAACATCCACTGGGCGAACACCAGCCATTTTGACCTTCGAAAACTCCACGTTGTTGTCCAACAAATCAAAGACTAGAAAATCAATCCATGTCAGTCTGTCACTTGCAAAGAACGTTTTGTTCCTGAAATCAAACATAGGTCTCTATTATAGTATTTAATTTTGATAAAAGATTGAATGGTGGTTTTGTGTCAGTTTAGACACACAAACAAACAGTAACCATTAATATCAAAGCAGTATTTTGGATGAAAACCACTAGAAAATAGGATATAATTATATAATATCACATACCTGAGCTTGGATACATGGTGCTATCTTCTCAAAATGATCTAACCATGTAGATGCTATGTTATCAAAATAATCATTTCGTTTTTCAGCTGAGAAATCAACATCATATACAACTTTTCCCATCTTCTGACGAAAGTCCTCTGTAAAATAAACGACGTAACTACAATTTATTATTCAGTGTTAGCAAAGTTTTATAAGATAAAGCCACGTCAATTTGATATTTATGATAACATGATGAGATGTGGATATGACACAACACAACACATTGGACACTTAGAAACGTCTTATTGCATTCACAGAAATGAACGAGATGATTGCCACATTCAAAACACACACAATTTTGATCTCAATTGCATATTACACCAGAAGCAAACCCTTATCTTATAAACCCTTGGTATTAGATGAGATAGAATTATATGGCACATAGTTTTTGGACTTACACACTGCTGACAAAACTA